TTGCTGATGGATAGACCGGTAAGTGAATAGACGATTGGATGGTATATACATGGACAGGTGAGCTGGAATATTAAGAGATAGGTGGATGATATGGGGACGGACATCAGCGCTTATACTAACTCCTCAGCCTAAAACTCAGTCACTGCACATTTCTCCTCTTAGTCGCTAGCCTGCAACCCTTAACTATTCCACGTCCTTTGCCACGTCTGTCCTCTTTTCTTCCCTTTTTTGCATTTTTTCTCAGTAAGTTTTTCACCTCAATGGACCCACGCTATCCCGCTTTGCATTCTCTCCTTCCATTCCAGTAGGCCATTTCAAAATGGAAACATCTGCAATTCCTCTTCTCTTTCTTCTGATACCAGTCCCAATCCCAATCAGACTCTTTCCTTTGGTTGAGTGACCACTTTACTGACTAATAGAGTGGCTACTTGACCGGCTTACAGACCGATAGCTTAAATGATTGGTTCATTTGCTCGGTGTACTGAGTTCATAATCCCTTCTGCACTTTACTTTTGTACCACATAATTGCTGCTTAATAATGTGAAAAGCAAAGCAGTATCTGGTGAATAACCTTTTATTAAGATGTTGCTAGAAACAATCAGCACTAGTGTTATAAAGTTCGGGTTATAGCAGAAAAGTAGTTAAGGAGGGCTTGTTTATTGTCAGTTGGCTCCTCTACCACTACGGATACGACCATCCCCACGGTTTCCCACATTGCGGTATCACCACAGACGACCATGCATACGGCGTCCTACATTGTGGCACTATCCATGATGACCATGCACGCTTCTCACCACGTTGTGAAACCTGTATTACACCAGTCCACGGTGCCCACTTCCGCGGATACAAAAATAGCCAACTCGCGATTGCCATTTCTACAACTATCTCCTTGCTTCCTTTGATACTCAATTGCCTGCTCAGATGTGTCGCCTTTTCTACCCTTCTCGTCGTCTCTATACGCCCGCCTTACATCTCTGCTCCATGTAATGTTTGCGCTCCAAGTACTTTCAAAGCAAAGTTTAGATGTGCAGTGAATTACACAAATTTAATTGAATTTTGGTAGAAAATATGATGAAGGAGACGTTCAAATTCCTCAATTTCTACAGTCTGATGATCAGCTGGCCATGCTTAATTATCAGAAACTGGCGTTTGCAGCACATATGACGAAGCTGCACAAACGCGTTCGGTAGCTCAACATAGTCAGTGACGAATCCTGATTCCTCCATCTCTAGTTCCGCACTTTCCGGTTTTCTTCTCTACTGATTAAATGATTGTTATATCAATCCACAATAGTTAAATGAAGCTTAATTACATTGACTCTTAGAGAGCACATTATTCCGAAGATAAAGAAGCGCCGCCGACAATAAGGGTCTGGATTTCCCACACTTCTCATTTCTAATTTGCAGACGTTTTGATTTTACTGTCCCGCAATGGGAGGAGCCATGTGTCTGGTCGCCTCTGGTGGTGCCGCAATGTGGACATCAGTAGGGCTGGTCTTCTCTGTGGTTGACGGTAATCACCACTGCATCTTCATGCCCGCACCGTAGTTTGAAAAGAAGCGTTTTAACTTCCTTCGCTCAGCAAGTGCTAGCTTCTAATACTTTCGTGCTTGTAGAGCAAAATGAATGCGATGATTTGAGCATTTACTAAATCAATGCCTCAGCGCCGCATTTTACAAGGCTGTTCATGAAAGCGGAGTAACAGTAGCAGTCTGCCACCAGATAAAAGAAGGTTGGGAAATATGGTGCGACTCCTGAAATAAGTGATGTCAATTGGAATCCCCAAGTTTCACTAAATGAACATGCCTTGGCCAAAAACCGCCAAGAGGTGTTATTTATTTACTCTTATAAGGAACGATTCCTCGTCCTGACATGTCTGTCCTCCTTTCATGCGTACCTGGAACTAACATCATTTGCTTCTACTCCAACACCTAACCGTAAAACTAAGCAGGTTATAGACGGAAAGTGCAAAGAGATGGTAAATTAGGTCCTTACTTGCAACAATGTGAGTCGAGCAAGTGAGCTGCGCAGGCACCCCTGTAGGTAAGCCTAAGTATTGAGCTTCCTGCTGAACAAAGATGCCTTGGCAGACGGACTATAAAGTTCGCTTGTATAAGGCCAGCCAACTGAGAAATATGTCTATAGTTTGTAGGCAAGCAGAATAAAAGGTCGGCAATTGGGTCTTATTTGGCAGCAGACTCCCATTGGTGT